CTCGAGGGTTGTACCAGCGCTGATGGCCTTCTCCATCCACGTTGGAATGGTCGTAGAGCAGAGTAGCAGATGGTCATAGAGCAAAGTTGCAGCGGCAGAAATGGAAGAGCAGCAACAATGGTCTTTCTTTTCTTTGGATTTGTCTGCAGAGCCGTTTCTAAGGGATGTTATTTATGAACGATGCCAGGAACGAGAGGGKAAGAGCAGCAATGGTGGCATCTTGGATGCAGGGGAGAACGTTAGTCTCTCTTTGAGAGGTTTTTGCAACAACGAAACCCAYGAGGTTCCTTGTTTTTTTTTTATTTTTTTTTTGAAAATTTGAAGAAGAATAATGGTAAAATTGTCTTTTTCGTCTTTTTGTTAACGGGTGAACTACTACTCAATTGTCAGAAACATAACGATAGTAAGAGTAGAGTTAATATATTAAAATTAATCTATATTTATTATATATTTACCCTAATTTTAAAATCTTAATTTATATTTATTATATATTTAATATACTAAAATTAATATTTATCGTATTTTCAGTAATTATTTATAGTTTTATGATAAATATATTTTCAATAGTTATGTATAAATCTATATTTGTTTTGTTTTTTTAAATGAAAATTTTTAATAATGATTGGATATTAAACTACTGCTATTTAATTTTTTAAATTTATTAGACTTATTGTATTATTGTATTTTTGCTATATTTTATTCATTAATATTTATTAGAGATTAAACTATTATTTGAGATTACAATATTTATTGACTAATTTAATATATATATTTTTGTATTTTTGTAATTATTTTTTGTATTTTTATGATAAATTGAAAACATAATTTTAAATTTAAAAAATGAAAAAATAAATTTATAATATAAAATATTTGAGACTAAGAAATATGGGAATTTCCTCACTTTCCCGTTTTAAAAAATTATATTTAAAATATAAAAATATTAATATATATTTGTGATTGGGTCATTCGATTTTGGTCAATTTACAAATGGGCACAGCAAAACTGATCCAATTTCAACCAAAAATATTAGAACCTAAGCAATTTGGGTCGAGTTGGTCGGGTTGGTTGGTTTCATCAATTCGATGAACAAGCTTAGTTGAAATAAATTATTGTTATTTTTGTATTGTAAAAAGTTATTAAAAGTATTATAAAATATAAATATTTAAAAAGTTATAAATATAAAATAATTGCATG